TAAATTAAACGCTACGAGCCGCAACAATGTAAATTTTCTAAAACGCTATCATTTACAAAATTTGAAGTTCCTACCGATGTCCCCGCGTCCCTTTAGAACCAAACCCGTATAAGGCATTCATAGACGACCCGAAAACAAGGGTTTGTGGCTGTCCCTTCGTCGCCACCCCCGAGAACACCGAAATGTACTTCATCCTTACGAACCTACAGGCACCCGCCAAGGACTTACCGATGGCGTCACGCACACAACATGTCACTTGCTCTACCTCATGCCACTTATGAACCTCATCAATTCGAATGGCACGTACAGAAGGCGCAAATTCCCCATGTTGCGACCATAGACTCTCAGGTGGTTGCAAGAAACGAGCACTACAGCGTCTACCAAAGTCCGCTTTCAGTTTGAACATGCCACACACAACACTCTGCAGAAGTCGGAACCGACCACAGACAACCGTATGCAACAATATGACACATCTTTTGGCTGTAACCCGGCACCACGCAGCGGATATACTTCCAAAAACGGATTGTAGGATGCACATTCCAACAACTCTTGTTTCAAGTCTGCAGACCACATCCGAGATGACCTCGTTACGTTGTCCAGGCGAAGGTAAAACCTGTTATTCTCTTCCTGCCTAAGCGCGGCGCGTAGGGACGGAAGTTGCCTGACATCAATGGCATAATGAGGTACTTTGATCAGACTTCCCCACTCCATCGCGGAAGCAAATTTGTTGTCCTTATGCCATGGGCATTTCCTTGCCAAGATGGCTCTATCCCATTCTGCCTCGGACCACGCATTGATAGGCTTGTCAAAGAAGGGGACGACGGTCATCTACGGGTCGTTTTCGGTATCGCCTCCCGAACCATGGAATCCGCATGCACAAGGGTGAATGGGACATGCATAATCATGCCGATGGTCCATGACTCATGTCGCACTCCCTACACAAGACATGAAATGCAAACAAAATGAAAATGAAATATCGAAATAGTAGAAAAATCGCCTTCATGATGAACTTGACTTCGAAAATTGTTGAACCATCACCAACCATCTTTAAAAATTAAACCGTAGACCGTTCACAAAATTCGCTACGCAAAATCATTGCAACAATAATATGCTTCATTCTGAATTCTCGTCCCTTCAAACAGTTATTTGACAAAAATCTCACTCCCCCACTCTATCGGGCGGACGTGCACTAATCGCTCTTGTCCCCTCCATCTACACTCCCTTCACCAGATGGACCTTCACCAGATGAACCTCAAACAATTATTTTACAAAAATCTCACTCTGCCACTCTATCGGGCGGACGAGCACCAATCACTCTTGTCCCCTCCATCTACACTCCCTTCACCAGATGGAGCTTCACCAGATGGACTCAAATCGAGAAGTGCAACTTCAGCATTTAGTTGAACACTGGAAGGAATGACAAGTCTAGTTGTGAATGGTCTTGTACCACGGACCGGTCTCTCCCAACCAAAAGCGATCGAGTCAGCATCCTGCCATTGTGTCGGGTCAGTCATTTTCCATCATTTTTCCCATGCGTTCTCATACAGTTGTTCGAGCGACTTTGCTCTTCCAGTCGGCACCCAATATTCCACTAGCACTTGATTATAATTTTGCAAATTACAATCAACAACCACCCGAGAAAGAGCTTTGCCCACCCAAATTGGCACACCGCTAGACAAATCATCGTCGGAGAGGCGAAGGATAAGAAAAGTGCCCACGTCGACATGCACGAGGGGGTCGAAACTAGTCTTCGGGCGATTTTTTCTTCGTCCAACAAACAGCGGTTCCCTGTCATCGTCGATGTTGACACTGTGAGGAGAAGGTTGTTGATCGATTTCAAGCAGCCGTGGTCGTGGTCAAAAACTTCCCTGGGGTTGTGAGGACAACCCGTTGGCGATGATCTCATCGCCATGTTTAATAATCTCATCCCAATAACACAAAGTTGTTTCTCTCCTACTCACCTCACGGTCATTGTAAGTGCACCACGTCGACCGCCTACTCTCCAGCAACTCGTGGAATCGAACAACACCATTTTTGTCATTCAAATAGTCATTTCGAGGAAGGGGTTGCACATGAGGCAGGTCAAACGGCCACGAAGGACCAGCATAGCTTTCATCGGGTTTTTTATTGAACCAAAAAATCCGACCTTCCTCGGGCAACCATTCTTCGTCATCTCAAAACTCCTTGTACAATATGCCCGGAATATCTCCAACCATCAAAAATTTAAGCAAGTGCGGTTTTGAAATACCGGTAATGTCTGACGCAACGCACGGGTCCACTATACTAATTCAATCTTCCATCGTATCGAGGAAAATACATTTGGGAGACTTTTTGTGGGATTGCTTTATGAGCTCGAAGAACTCGTCCATAGTATAAGCGTTTACGTCTTTCAATTTCTTCGAGAAAACGCTGAAAGTAGCGTCAACGTCTGTATGGGTGTGTCCCACCAGCATGAAACCTATTTCTACCTCTTCAAAAACTTCGAACTTAACCAACAGTGCAGCCAGGGCACATATGTACTTGTTCTTGTTTTCCCGCCAACAATTATTTGCTTCAATGCGCAAAAAACGTGGAAGTGGTGTCCCGCTCCCTTGAATTTCAACAAGGGTTCTCATAACACAAGTAGCGACCGTGTTGGAATCGTGTTTGAAATACGGAAACCCCGTGTACACATATATACTAGGGTCTCTGCCGTGTGCAATGACGCCTGTCAGATTAGTCTTCATCATCATCTCGTGCCTAAGTGCTTTCGAGTAGTTCGCTTGACCAATATGGGGGATAGCTCTTTTCTTCTGATCCATGCCGTCAATGATGAGACACAAACGCTCGTTCGGACGAACCATGGAATTAATTTTCGCTCGACTATAGTCCAATCTGTGTTTAACTTGCCTCCTTTGGTGTGCTTTCATATCCTCTCGAGCACGTTCTCGATCTCGAGGAAGAGCAGCATATTGTATACGTTCCTTCAGTTCATGACAGACGGCGCACTTCGTGAACGTGTTAGATTGAGCGAGGGAAACGTGGAAAAAGTGTTTTTGCCACAACTTATAAAAGTTGGACTCAGACACGACATCAAGGCCAGCGGCTAGAAAGTCGGATTTGATGGACTCATAAATTGATCTCTTCGTAAAAGCAGCCGGGAGTCGAAGCTTCGGTCTGGAAACCCCACCTTGGTTAGCCACCTCATTCGGCATGCTATCCGCATGACACTCGATGAACGTTCTCATGCTGGCAAGCATGACTACCGTTTTATTGGTTGGCCTATATTTTTTCGTCAGGCCATGCTCGGAACGCACGTAGCCATTGTCGAAACGCTTTTTGTAGCCGTAAAATGTATTACGTGAGACACCGAGTACATTGCAGTACGCCCTGATGCACATTGAACGTTCCAACTCCACAAGGCGGACACGTTTCTGTCCACTTTCATTTACTGTGAAATCCTTAATACTTTTCATTCACCACTCAGCTCGCTCTCCCGGACTCTTACTGTACAGTCCTTGTCTAACCTTTCGCACTTCCTCAGGCGACACATCGTAACAACATCGAGCCTTGCAACATGCCATGCCGCGCACCATGAGCAGTCTGTTTTCGGACAGCATGTTTCTCGCTCTTTTATATTGTTCTTTCCTCCTAGCGTTCCTATTAGCCATGCAATACCTTCGTCTTTCGCCTGGCAGAGGTGCGGGCAAAATCAGTAGTATCGCCCTTCTCTTTGCATCACCCCTGCCAGACGATTCCGACCCAGACTGGCTCTGACTTGGAATCGCATCATCACTTCGCATATGCGTTGGACTCGCCCGTGCTGTGGAAAGCTCCTCCGAAGAATAGTCGGTGGCAACCAAGTTCGTAGTACTGCAGGTAGCGCGAAGCAAAGGTCCACTGGAATAGGACCGTTGTCCAGACGAGTAATCAGTGGCCACCAACCGCTCACTCTCGTCATCATACGATGCGTAAGAAACACCGATTGCCACGCAACTGTTGTGCGCCGAAGCTGTGGGGTGCACCTCGCTAGGAATGTGGAACTCTATCCGGTAGGTAAACGGTTCTTCGGCCGCGGACGTTGTCGCCAATTCTGTAGGCAGTTGGATGCAACCTCCAAAGCTCTCACGAAAAGTGAGATTTCGTTTTCTGGGGAAATCCGCAGCTGACTGTTGGAACGACGAACTGTCCGAAGAGGTCGTCGGGGCCAACTCCATGTGTTGTAGCTGGCAATGCAAGTCGATAGCTTGTTCAGTTTCCATAGCCCGGTTCATGCGGCCGTTCGCCGAGCCTTCTTCGGCGCCGTCATGCAATCGTCGGTGCAGCGGATGCGATTCCGGTCAGCGCAATGGATTATTCTCTCTTGTGCGGGTCGAACGGGTCATTCGAATTCGCGTCCACACCCTGCAAAACAGCGGAGCAAACTGTAAGCACAGTCAGATTTACGCGTTGAGGGCACAAAGTTCGCCGGGATCCGAATTTGGCGGGTGCAGGAGTAGCAAGGAACCTGTTTTCGCACGGCTTGTGTCAGTTGAAGGTAGCGCCAGTGGGTGCACACAAGGAACGCTATGTTTGGGCGAAGAGAAGGAAGACTCTGTTGTCAGTGAACGATAGCACGCACAAAACAAAGGGTAGTGGTGGATGCACCACCACACAATTCAGCGTAGCGCGACCCCAAACAGACCCCTATAAACACCGATTCTTACCATCGTCTAAGGGAGCTCGTGCGGTGCTCCATTCGCTGGCACTAGTGCAATAGCGACCCCCTATTCGCGCGTCGGGAACGTCGACGTGCGACAACGCGAACCGGACAACACGCAGAAACACAAGCATGTCTGCCTCAAGACTCCGCACACCGCGACAGTCAAAACCCTTGGGGGGCAGAAAATATTGTGGGTCTGAAAAATTGCTCGCCTTCTGAAATGCCCTTGAAGGGGTTTATGGGGGTTGCCGACGGTGACAACGGTCGTGTCCCTTACTTTCGGCAACCCCCATGATCACCTTTAAGGGCATTTCAGAGGGCGAGCAATTTCTCACACCCGCAGTCCTTTCGCAATCAACTCATATTTGAAGCTCCAAGCGCCATGCGAAGGACGGATAGATTTGCGCCGATCCTAAAAGTCCGCCAGGATCCGAACTTGGCGGATTTGCCTGGAGAGAGTAACAGGTTTTCGCGCGGCTGCAGGTTTCGGAACGGGAGGATGGCGTTTGCACAGAAGCAGGCGATGCTCGGCCTCACCGCATTTCGGGGCGGCGATGAACGAAGATCCACGGCACACCGGAAATGCACCCGGCCAGTGACATCGTCATCAACCCCAATAAACCCCTTTCAGGGCAACTCACAAGGCGAGCACTTTTCCGCACTACCAGGCGGCCGGCATTGAAGACGGACTGGGCAGTCCAAGCTGTTAAAAATAACGGTCAGATTTACGGGGAGCCTCTAAGTTCGCCGGGATCCGAATTTGGCGGGTGCAGGGGTAGCAAGGAACCTGTTTTTGCGCGGCTTGTGTCAGTGGAAGGTAGCGCCAGTGGGTGCACACAAGGAACGCTATGTTTGGGCGAACAGAAGGAAGACTCTGTTGTCGGTGAACAATAGCACGCGCAGAACAGGGGGTAGTGGTGGATGCACTACCACACAATTCGGCGCAGCGCGACCCGAAAGTGACCCCCATAAACTCGATTCTCATCATCGTCTAAGCGAGCTCGTGCAGTTTTCCATTCACACGTACTAGCGCAAGAGCTTATCGAACTCGGACATCCCCATTGCGTAGACAAAAAAAATGTAGAAAAGGATGAAAGATCCCCCCTTCAACCCTTCCAAACATTGATTCGGCCAGTCGAGAAGGCGACCCCCGATTCTGCGACAAGACTCCGCACACTGCGACAGTCAAAAACCTTGGGGGGCAACAAAGATCGTGGGCGCGAAAAATTGCTCGCCTTCATAAATCCCCTCGAAGGGGTTAGTGTGGGTTGTCGGCGGTGACAACGGCCGTGTCCCTTATTTTCGGCAACCCCCATGAACCCCTTGAAGGACATTTAAGAGGGCGAGCAATTTTTCTCGCACCCACAGTCCTATCATAATCAACTCACATTCGAAGCTCCAGGCGTCACGCAAAGGACGGATAGATTCGCGTCGATCCTCAAAGTCCGCCAGGATCCGAACTTGGTGGATTCGCCTGCATTTGTAACGGGTGGATGGCGTTTGCACAGAAGCAGACATTGCTCGGGCGCACCGCATTTTGGGGCGCCGATGAACGAAGATCCACGGCACACCAAAAATGGACCCGGCCAACGACACCATCGTCAACCCCAATAAACCCCTTTCAGGGCAACTTACAAGGCGAGCAATTTTGCGCAATACCAGGCCGCCGGCATTGAAGACGGACAGAGAAGTCCAAGCCGTTGAAAACAACGGTCAGATTCATGCGGCGCCTCGAAGCCCTCCGGGATCCGAATTTGGCTGGTGCTGGAGTAGCAAGGAACCTGTTTTTGCGCGGTCGGTGTCAGTGGAACGGAGCGCTTGCGGGTGCACACAAGGAACGCTATGCTTGGCCGCACAGAAGGAAGGCTCTGCCGCTCTCGAGCTGTCGTTGAACGTCAGCATGTGCAGAGCAAAGGGCAGCGGTGGATGCACCACCACAAAATCGGGCGCAGCGCGACCCCAAACTGACCCCCCCTGCAACCCTTCCAAACCCCGATTCGGCCAGTCGACAAGGCGACCCCCGATTCGCGCGCCGGTAACGTCGACGTGCGAAAGCGCGAACCGGAAACCATGCAGAAACACGAGCATGTGTGCGACAAGAATCCGCGCACCGGGACGGTCAAAACCCTCTGGGGGCAACAAAGATCGATGGCACACAAACAAGGGACACGGCCGCTATCAACGTCGGCAACCCCCACAAACCCCTCGAAGGGCATCTCAGAAGGTGAGCAATTTTTCGCACCCACAGTCCTCGCGCAATCAACTCACACTTGAAGCTCCAGGCCTCATGCGAGCACTTTTCCGTGCCCGGAGGCCTCTGGTAATCAGAACACACTCGACAGTCGTGGCCGTCGAAAACGGCGGTTAAATTTACGAGGGACCTCAAAGTCCGTCGGGATCCGAACTTGGCGCTTGCTGGACTGGCCAGGAACCGGTTTGCGAGGGGGACGACGGATATTTGGATGACCGGTGTGGAATTACACAGAAGGAACGCTAGGCTTGGCTGCATGTTTAGGGAGGCCCTGCTGCTGCTCACAAGTGTTTGTTCCAACAGAGCACGCAGAACAGAAATGGTCGTCGCAGGTGCACCACGTCGGAAATTGGCGCAGCGCGGCCCCCAATAGACCCCCATGGACCCCGATTCTCCTCATCGACAAAGCGAGCACTTGCGGCGATCCAGTCGCAAATGTTGCCATCCTTGATGACAANCGTCGCAGGTGCACCACGTCGGAAATTGGCGCAGCGCGGCCCCCAATAGACCCCCATGGACCCCGATTCTCCTCATCGACAAAGCGAGCACTTGGGGCGATCCAGTCGCAAATGTTGCCATCCTTGATGACAATGACTGCAAGCACAAAAAAAAAAATGACCACTGCTGGTGGACCCCCGATTAGTACCGCAGACAAGGCGAGCTCGCAGTTAGGCAATGGCAAGTTCCACAACCAGGTTCATGGGACCACGTACGGGTGCCAACCACGAAGTCCGCCCGGATCCGAACTTCAGATCGGTTGCCGCGTTCGACCGGGAGCATTAAACACTTTGTTTTTGCTGGGGTCCCGTTGGTAGGAGTTTTTCTTTTTGCGGCAACGTCAACGAAAGAACAATCATGCAACCAGGACTCTGAAAAGATCCATGCAAACCATAAGCGCCTTATTTCAGCGACGAAGTCAAAACAATAATAATCATCCGAGCAGCCCGCGACTTCGCATGCTTCAGATTGCAAGTCCGCCGGGATCCGAACTTCGTCGCACGCTGAAAACTGGCATGGCGTTATGAACTATCGACCCCACGCCCGAAAGATGGGAACTGTGTCCCGCAAAACGTAGTCATCAGGGCAACCCGGGATGACATTGTGACTGCGAACGTGAAACCAATGACCGCCAAAAAAATGGGAACTTCGGATCCCGGCGAACTACAGCAATCATGCGTTATTTTCGCACCTGCGCGTGCTCTCCCTGCGGCCGCGGGACGGCAACAGATTGCTGCTTTTGCGAGGGCACTGCGCATGATTGCTGTAGTTCGCCGGGATCCGAACTTCCCATCTCGCCAGGCAACCACACGCCACGCGCCGTTTTTCATTTGGCTGTTGTTGGTTTCGAGCTTGCGGTGACAATGGCGACCCCCCTTGCCCCGATGACTAAGACGTTTCCCGGAGGCGGCCGGATTGTTCGTTACTGAACGAGGCCATGTTTTCGTGTCGAGGTTGTCGTCATGAAACATGCGGCGCTCACGCCGAAGAAACGCCATCGTCATTGTAGCGAGCGGCGCAGGTGTTCTTCATCGCGCGCACGCAACGTGTGCATTCTTCGTTCTGGAGCCCGCGGATGTTGCGCGCACAGTCCTGGCATTTGTCGCGCGGAATGCGATATCGCATCCCTCACGACCAGCGCCAGGAGCGCACGCTCAACATCCATGGCCTCTATGGTGGATCATGTGCACGTTGTGTGGGCGGGATGGAGACGACAGCAACTCTCTCGGGATTGACGCCATAGTCTCTTCGGGGAGGGAGGCTCAAGTGTTGCGGCGAGAACACGAACACGGAACGATGACCCCCTCCTGTTTATGAATACCTTACCTCTCACTACACGCCATGTGGACGGCGGATATCCTTCCCACCGTGGCCACCGAGCGACGCTTAGTACCAACAGCGGTCACGCGCAGCCCATGCGTCTCCTTTGTGATAACCAACCTCTAATCTCTTTGTTGAGAACAGCAAACGAGCGAGGGAAGTGTTTCGAAGGGGTTTCGTGTTCCGCTGGGAACAGGCGATTTCGTGTTTGCCTCGACCGCGCGGGAGTGGTTTGCAATGTCCAGCTTGTGATCAACGACAATTTTTCTTCAATGCCAAGCCAAACAAGTATTGTGGGGGCGGTCGCGTGGAACGAATGAGAGAGAAGCAGAACGGGACACGCAAACCGTGTGCCCCGATGTCCACGTCATCTGTTCCCGCCGTCCCAGCCACTTGTGACACGTGGCACGACATGATGATAATGATGACGACGGTGATGAACACGATGATGGTGACGATTACGGTGGTGATGTTGATCTGGGCGACGATGTCGTTGACGATGATGACGATGTTGATGACGATGATGATGTCGATGATGATGTTCGTTATGATGATGATTGTGATGACGAGGATGATGATCATGACGATGATGACGACGATGATGACGATGTTGATGATGGCGATGACAACGAAGAGGACGATGGTGGTGATTTTGATGACGACGACGATGTCGCTGATTATGATGATGTTGTTGATGACGTTGATGATGTTGATGATGATGTCGATGATGATGACGATGTTGATGACGTTGACGAGGTTGATGATGATGTTGTTGATGATGATGATGATGTTGATGAAGATGATGATGATCACGATGACAATGATGGTGATGATGATGATGATGATGAAGATGATGACGCTGATGGTGGTGGCGACGGTGATGGTGATGACGGGGGCGATGATGATGATGATGATGGCAAGCAAGAATCACGGGGCCGCTCGCGAGGAAAGAACGAGCAGGAATCAGAAGGGGACACAGAAACCATATGGCCCAATGTCACCGACATCCTTTCCCTTCGTCCCCGCAACTTGAAAAAGGTGGCGCGACGCGGCCGCTCCCATGGGCCAGCAAACATGCCTGACACGTGGGCAGGCAGAACAGCACTTTACCTTGAAGAGGGCACAGCGCACACGATGGCGCTGCTCTTTGACGGCTCACAGTTCTTCAAGGAGGCGCAGTTCTTCGACGACGGCGAAGCGCACACGATGGCGCAACTGTTCGACAAGGGCTCAGCGCAAACGGCGGTGGCCACTTGCTGACGCAGGACGCAGAGACGAGATGTCGAAGCGGAGACAACCGAACCACAGACGACAGTTGTCGACGAGAGGAACCCCCTGCGCCCACGCCCGCCGCCGCCTGGCGCAACAGCGGAGCAGAAAAGGCGATGGAGGATGTTGCTGACGGGATGGCGAGCGCGAATGCGCTCGTCAGGCTCGAGATGCGAAAGGGCTGCCCTAGACCCGAGGCAGCTGAGCGTCAGATTGCCGTCGCACCCCATGGAAAGACCCGCCTGTGTCCCCCCGTTCGGCCACAGACCCCGCTCGCCAGCCAGGAGACGCGAATTGCCGCGAACCCCTCCAACCTCCCCTTTCCCCCAGCCCTTCGCCCCCCTCTCCCCTCCCGCGGTTCTCCCCCCTCACCCCTGGAAAGTACAAACTGCCCCCCGCCGACACGTGAGACCCCCTCCACCGGGGCCCGCGAACCCGAAGACACGAGCGTGAGGGGCCTGGAACAAGGGCCCGTTTTCCAATGACGTCTAGGAAGGGCCAGCCCGTAGGGACGTTTTTGTCACATTTTGATGCACCAGGCCCCCCTCGCGACAATTTCGACGTGCAGCCACCGTTCGATGCACGGATCGAACAGTCGCGAGTCGGCGCGCGGACCCTGCACAGAAACCCGAAACGGAAGGCCCGAGGGGGCCTCGTGTCCCGCGCGCCTACAAATACGAGCGGCGCCCTGGGCATTGACGATGCGTTTTGCGTTTTTTGCTGGGGAGATGCTGCTCGACAGAAGCCACGCACCGCGACTGTCGTCAACAGCTGGCGCGCCATAGCTGGCACAGCCATTCTTCACCGCGCACGTTTCGTGGCACCAACGCACCCCACATGCCCTCGCATGTCCCTCCGCCTACCAAGTCGTTGTCCACGTCATACTCGACGTCGCTTCTGATCTCCTTTCTCAGAAGGCGCGACCGCCACCCCACGCAGCACCCCAGCAAACGCGAAGTGCGCGCCCAAAGGTGGACAAAGTGCCATCACGACAAACGCCGGGGTTCGCGCTCATCTTCACTCGGCAGTCCCACCCGGTGAGTGGGCACGCAGCCGGAATGTATGTTTGCATGTGCGCGTGTGCGGGGGAGGTTTTTTGTGACGATATGCGCGCGCAGATCGAAAGATTTCGTGGCTGCATGTGTGCGGGTGGGCGTGTGTGTGTGTGTGTGTGTTTGTGTGCGATTGTGTGTTTGTGCATTCTTCATTGTGTGTGTGTGTGTGTGTTCGAGTGCGTGTTCCTTTGTGTTTGTGTTTGTATTGAAGTGTGTGCCACACGCGCGAGGCAGGATCGTGCGCGTCTGTACCTGAGGGGCTTGTGTGTGTGGGCGTCGTGTGTCGGCTCGTGTGTGTGTGTGTGCATGTTTGTGCCTGTTTGTGCATATGTGTTCGCATGCGTGTGTGTTCGCGCACGTTTTTCGCGGGGAGATGCGCGCGAACGTGCGCGGTCAGGGATGAACGTCATGGTTCGCCCTTCGATTCCGCTTGTGTGTGGATGTGTGAGGATGTGTGAGGAGAGTATCAACAAACGATTGCGCTCGTGCTGTACTCAAGTGGCGAAGCACGGAAGCTCGGATCGAACACGCGGCGACCAATAACGAAACACAACGTCATCGTGAGCACTTGCCATACCCGATTGGTTTTGTGTGCTGTCCCAATGTCATGTCCGCCGATATGCCCAATGGATGATCAATCGGAACACGCGGTGGCAATGTCGACACAGCGAACACATCCATCGACCAATCACGAAACACGATGAGATCACTCGCGATCGGATGATTGGTCGTATCTGCCGTGTCGACGTTACCGCCGCGTGTGTGTTGTTCTTTCTGTCGTGTGTGTTCGGATCACTTGTGATCTGATGGTCGATCAGATCCATGACAATATGTACACCACACACGTGATGAACCGACCCATCACGAAACGCAAGCTGACCACTCGCGATCGGGTGATAGATGCTGTTTGCTTCCCCGGCAACAGCGCCGCTGATCTGCCCGACGGATGATTAACCAATGCACGAGGCGACAACGCATCCAACCGACCAATCGCGAAACGACAGAAGATTATTTGCGATCGGATGATTGATCGTGTGTGCTGCATCGAAGATCAACCCGCCGGCGAGCGACCTTTTTATTTACCCACCTGACCGTCCTCGACCGAACCGTCAATCGGTCACGAAATCTGCCAGGATCAACTGATTGGTCGACAGCTCGGTTGGCAATTGCTCTGCTGGTTGATCAACCACCACACCAACCGCCAACCGAGCATCCGATCAACCAATCGACTGTTCTGTGCTAATTGATCGTGGAGAACGATCGCGGAGAATCCTCAAGGCAAATGATCATGTGCACGATCGAAACCGGCGAACGAAACGCACAACCTATCGGAAAAACGTCGATCTCGATCTTCGAACGAATAAAAAGCACTTCGGCACAATCTTGTTGCACATCGAACCTCGTATAACATCGAACCATGCTGCCTATGGAACCTGGCTCCACATCAAACCTCGGCGGGCGTCGAACCTCGTCGGACGTCGAACTTTGGAGGACGTAGGGTTGTCGACACTTGACGGTCACTGAACGGCGAACGTTGAGCACCCACCACCCCACGCGTCGTCGGCACTGTTCTCGCGATCGGAACGTGGTCGTTCCAATAGAACTGATCTCGCAATCAAACACCGGAAGAAGTTGGGATCCTGGCGAGCTTGTGCAGCTGTTCAAACACGCTTCTCAACCCCGGTGCGCAAGCACAACCAGGGACGTGGAAAATTAGAAGTCCGTCGGGATCCGAACTTCAAGAAATTGCTGGACGGCGAGTTTGCCAGACACGTGTGCATCTCCCACGCAATTTCGTCAAGTTCGGATCCCGGTGAACTTCATGCAGCTGTTCGAACACGCTTCGCAACCCCGGTCCCCAACCACAGCCTTGGACATTTAAAAGTTGGAAGTCCGCCAGGATCCAAACTTGAAGAAATTGTTGGACGGCGAGTTCGGCAGACAGGTGTATGTCTCCCACGCAATTTCGCCAAGTCCGGATCCCGGCGAACTTCATGCAGCTGCTCGAACACGCTTCGCAACCCCGGTCCGCAACCACAGCCTGGGACGTGGAAAAATATGAAGTCCGCCGGGATCCGAACTTCAAGATATTGCAGAACGGCGAGTTTGGCAGACAGGTGTGTATCTCCCACATGATTTCGCCAAGTTCGGATCCCAGCCAACTACAGGTTCCTCTTGGCCTGCGGATCAATACCTCGCTCGCACTATTCCTTGCACACTCGTCGAGTCTGGACCTCCGCGAACCTCGGATCCGTGATAATGCGAAGTCCACCGGGATCCGGACTTCTACTGCACGGTTCCTCGCACAGAAGTCAAGTTCGCACCCCGGCGACTTCGCTTGTCTCAATGTGCGGGTTTCAGAACGCGGTTTCTAGCTCTCGGGGTTTGGCACAACTTATTTGAAAAAATGTGTAGCCCCCCGGTTGATTCTCGCCCACGTGGTCTCGAGAAGTTCGGATCCCGGCGAACGCCCTCCTGTGGATCCGGACTTCGCGTGGCAAGTTCGGACCCCGGCGAACTTCGCGTCGCGCATGGTGTGGGTACTGACTGTGTCCTTTCTCGCGAACGGGTGTTTGCCACAACTTTTGTTTCGCAAAAATGCGAAGTCCACCCGGATCCATACTTCTCGTGCAAAGGTTCCTCGTCCCATCGTCGGGTTCGCCTGCCGGGCCGTGGATCCGAACCTGTTGTCTTCCTTTCGCAATGCATGTGGCAGGAGATGTTCCTTTCGCAAGTTCGGATCCCGGCGACTTTGCCAAGTTCGGATCCCGGCGAATTTGAGTTGTCTTTCTTTCGCAATGCATGTGGCAGGAGATGTTCCTACTGGGCCATGGATCAGAACCTGCCGTGCACGGTTCCTCAGACAATCGTAAATTTTGGATCACGGCGGATTACGGATTCTATAAAATGCAAAGTCCGTTGAGATTCGAACTTCCCGTGCACGGGTCGTCGGAAAACCGTCGACTTCGGACCCCGGCGTGCTTCACCTTTCGGGTGGTGCGGGTTCTGACTGTGGACTTCCTGACGACCGGTGGATTGCCACAACTTTTTATTCGTACGAAATTGAAGTTCGCCTGGATCCGAACTTCTTGGCAGTTTTGGACGTCGGGTTTGGGAGACAGCTTCGTCTTTCCCGCGCAGTCTCGCCAAGTTCGGATCCAGGCGAACATGTCGCAAGGCGTGTTTGCGGCTGGCCCGCGGACCGGTAGATGTGAACACCGACGAAGTCGCCCACCCGAAATTGGATCTTGGGGCATACATTGCGTCTAATGCCATGGGTCGCACATCGCGAGACATGACGCGTTTACGAGTGTCTCCGTGCCCATGTGTGTCGTCGGGTATGTGCGCGTGGTGTGCAGGTTGCGTGATGGAGGGGACCTTCTCGACACCACGCATCTTCGAGTCGAGCTTCTCGAGACCATAGGCCATGAGTGCCGAGACGCACATTCGCTTAGCAGAACCTTTTCGTCCTTGTGCGAAATCCGTGCGGCATTTCAACGGTGTGACAACGATCCACGGAGCGACCGCAAAGGACTTCGACGAGGACCCATGGATGACCGTCATCCCGTGCATGGACGCGCATCTTGACGACTGGGGCGAGGGCAATTGGGACAATATGGAGACTCACTGCCCTTGGGCAAGCAAGTACAAGTTCGCGAATATGTTGGAGTTCTGGGACCTCATCCCACTGCCTGACGCCGTCCTCGGATATAAGTTCCTGAACCATATGCGGAAAGCACTAAGCTGCATTAGCCGCTATTTCAGTTGCCTCGAGTGCCACAACGTCAGGTTGTCGCCTCGAACTTGGGGTGGCTCGCGGAAACAAGAGTTGGTGGATTGCGCTCGTCGCTGCTCGTTCCTGGACAAGTACCCGTTCCGTGGCCCCGGGATTTCTCCACAAGCTGTGTCGTACTGCTGTGTGCGGTTGACTGTGTCCGGATCTGATTTCGCCAAAGTTCTGTGTGTCGCTGCTTCGAACAAGAGCAGGAAACTCGTCGAYGCAGTTGTGCTCGTGTCGCGCAACGAGGTTGTGATTGAAGGGTCCAAATTCGTGCCGATGCGTGGGCTTGAACGTGCGGATGGGTGGCCAGATTTAGTGATAGCAGGTCAGGTTCGAAACTATTCGTTGTTTCGTGAGGTTGAGGAGAAAGCGGCTGACATACGGGACTGCATAGGAAACTCCTTGGCACGACCGGGGGTGTTTGTTAGGATGAAATACATGTCCATTTTTTCGGAGAGTGCATCGGTCGACGAACCGCAGACCCGCCTATACGGATCGTCACTGAATGCTTTGTTTGGCTTCGGTTCACGACGTCGTCCCGGGGGATCCCCAAATGTCGCCGCATCCGAACCGGTCTTTAGTCCTTCTGTTTGAGGGAAAAGAACGGCGAGGGACGAGATGCGGTTGTGTTGCCTAACATGTCAGATTTGTAGGACTGCAGAGAAGTGTGAGACTCCGCGGTTGCTGGTACACGCTGCACCGCGCGCTTGTCGTGCAAATCCCTGGTCGTCGTTCGGTTTAGTGACATGACGAAAGTCATGTTGGACGTCTGTCTCTGACGCCGTCTCCTGCCATGTCGTGCCCCGGCGAAGTTCGGATCTCGGCGAACTTCGCGTTGGCACCGTGCTAGGACACCTTGCTAGGACCCCAACTTGTTAGTTCCCGACTGGAGATCCCGATTGGCGGGCCCTCGTGTTGGAAATCCCGTTGGCACCGTGCTAGGACACCTTGCTAGGACCCCAACTTTCTGTCTGTCTCTCTCGCAGCCTCCTGAAGTTTGGATCCCGGTGAACTTCCTGTGACGCCTGTGTATTGAACGGGCGCTGGGCTTGATGATCCCCCGTGGATTGCGACACGAGTCAAACCCTGATCCACAACTGCTCATCCAGGGACTCATACAATGTTGTCGCGGCTGCTCGTTTGAACTTGGCTTCATCCAATGCCAAGCTGCGCATATCAGAAGAAGTTCGGATTTCGGCGAACTTGTCCTTCTCAAGCGGCTTTTTGTGTTAGTGCGGCCTTTCCGGGTCGTGGTTCAGTCCAATCTGTGTTTGCCTGACGCCGTCTCTGCCTGTCGCATTTTCCTGAAGTTCGGATCCCGGCGAACTTCACGTTTCGGTGGGTGCGTTGGTTTGGCTTCGAACAGGCACTTTTAGTACGGATCTCGGCGAATTTCGCGTCCTGAGCTGTCCGGGTTCCTATTGCTGAAAGGAGGACACTGCCCCGTCCAGCGCGGGCTTTGTGCGTCACCGCCCGTCCACTCCCGATCTGGTGGACATCCGTGTTCCGGAAAAAACCGACGTGGTTGTCGCCCGGCTGCATGACGCGTGTGCCCTTGTAAAGAATGATCTCGTTGCAGGTAAGATGTCATTGCTGGTCTTCGAGTTAGAAGTTCGCCGGGATCCGAACTTCGAGGTCCTCGGATAGCGTCATGTGACCGACGTGTTGAGGGCAAGGTGTGCCTCCTCTGTTTTTCGCCTGCGTTGTGCTTTGACTACGATTTGACGCTCGCTGGTGTTTTGTTTTTTTTCCATTCTCGTCCGCAGACAATATGTCTTCGTCCAGGGGCGAAGGGAAGCCTGCAGCGACCTCTGGGATGGGATCTGGGAAAGATTCTACAAACGGTCGTCTACGACCTCGAGGACGTGGTCCGACCACGCTAGGTCGAAATGGTTCGTCGACTGGTGTTGTGCTGATGCTACGAACCCAGTCCAGCAGCCGTGTGGTCTTGTGATCTTCGTCGAAGCCAACAAGCGCCGCAGGGTTCTGGGGGCTGTCTTGCGGTGGGAGAATGTGAAAGGCAGTCGTCGACGATTTTACATGAAAAATGTGTACGGTTCGAAGGGGAACGTCGTCGCCGGTGCCAAGGGGGCAGTTCTCGACATGTGTCTGTTCAAGGGGTTCGGAGCGGGTGCTGCGAACACCCCGTTCTACAACGACCTCCGCCGGCAGGGCGGGTTTGTTTCGGGTCGAGAGTTCTTCGACCTGTTGGAGGACACGGGCATCGCCCTCGACGTCCCTTGCGAAGTCGGTCCCGACCTGGAACTGTCAATGCCTTTGCAGCCGTGCGGCGGTTGTGAGTCGAGCGGGGCAGCGGGGGAGGGGGGGGATCTGGGTTCCGGGGAGGCTACACATGTGCAGCGGGAGGATGCCAGAGGTCAGTTTGACGACAACGAAGATAAGGCGACACCGCATCCGCCGTTTTCGCCTTCGAGGGAAAGAGACAGCTCCATGCTGTCCATACTTGGGGTCCGGCAACAGACCGCAGCGGATCCCCGAGAAGAGGGAGTCATGTGTGGGTCTGACTTGGAGCCCGCCGAGGGCCATGGCGCGAAAGGCGAGGTCATGGGCGGGGAGGGAGCGCAGGGCACTCCCCAAAAAAGGAGCGGAGAATGTCAAGAAGAGTTGGTGGGCTCTTCGAAGAAACAGAAGACCAAGACCCTGAGGACTGGGGGAGAGAAACGGAAGGGGAGGGGGGTGGAAGAGGGCCACCCGGGTAGCAAACGTCCAACTTCGAAACATAAACAGCCTGAGTCGGGACCTTCTTCACCGCGGCCTGTCATCGACGTGGCCGTCGGGTACTTCCTGGAGTACAAAGACGGCGTCAGGACAAGGCGGGAGTTTGAGATCAGCCCGACTCAGATCGTCGACATAAGGGAGTGGGAGGATCTTTACAACCAGCGGTCGCTAGATCCCGTCCTCGTGGAAACGATAAGGGAAGCAATGTGGTCTGCATTCGAAAATAAAAAACAGACGTACGAGTTGTCGGTCTTCAAGCTCGCACCATTGAGGCTTCAAAAACCAACTCCTGGGACCAAGGCACAATGTCTGAAGCCGGAGGAGTGGAAGGATGAGATGGCGGGAGAATACTACTACTACGCGGTGTGCGGGCAGCATAACGCGGCTGCAGCCAGGTCGCTGTTCGGCAGCGAGGTGGCCAAGAAGTACGATTTTGAGCGGTGGCCGACACGGATGGTGTACTTTTCTGACAATGACTTCGAAGGGTATTTTCTTGTTAGTTCACAGGACAATAAGAAGGACCTGAAGGCGCCTCCTAGACAGTTGAAACTTTCTATGAAAGACATTCGATGGCAGTGGAAGCATGACGGCTGCCCGAGAGCTGTGATGGGGAACCCTAGCGGGAAACAAGATCAGGTCCGGGATTGGCGTTAGTTTTGTACAACGGCGCTCCATAAGGCGCCTCAAAACAGCTTGTGGCTTCTCGCGGATCAAAAGGAAGAGGAGGCCATTAAGAAGCAAAATGTTGCCCTGCGTTCTTACTTTCCTCTGGCGATGGCTGGGGAAAATGTCTGGAAATTGGCCGTGGAATTTTTCGAAAAATGGGAGACGGCCAGATTGCTGAGCCACGATGGGGCGAAGTGGACCGTCAAAAAGAAGAAGGTCAAAAACGTAAAGCCTGGGGTCGCCTACATCCACAACGACAAATTAGGCAGAACGGAGGTGGTGTACAACGTCCCCGTGGACCCCCCGAATAAAAAGGGCAAAAAGAAGAAAGAGGAGGGCGATTGGTTCGTGCAAGTGCCAAACCCGGACGCGCATTGTTGGAAAGCAATGGAATCACTCACGGACAATGAGAAGTGTCGCGTTCTGAAAAAGGTGCTTGCTTGCGAGGTCGTTTGGGTTCAGGCCGGCTCCCTGTCGTTGGCGAAGTTGGGAAAGCTCAGCGTGCAGGACATGGTTCAGCTGGTGAAGTGCGACCGCATGCTGGTCCGGTTGTGGAATTACTACCAATTCAAGCACGAGAAGCGGCCGGACGCGGACTGGATCCAAAGGTACCGTTTCCTGAAATCGAGATCTGCCGTGTTCAAGAAGTTTGAAGGTCAGGGATTGGATGACAAGTTGTGGGATAACAGCAGGAAACACATTTCTGACTCGGTGCTGTTCAAGGACTGCCCGCCGTACATGGGTTGCGACCAGGACAACTCGATTGAGGTGACGGAGAAGTTGGCGGGCCACAAGAAGTTGTCCGTCAACTTGAGAAACAAGGTTCTCTCTGTGTTGAATGGAAGCAGACTGAAGAGCCGGGAAGTCGCACTTGCCGAAGGCGTCGTTCACATTAAATGGAAAGACACGGGGAACGTGACATCCATCGCGCCGTTCGCCAATGACCCTTTAGAGGCGGACATCAGGGGCGCAGAGCTGAAGGAGGCAGTGGCTGCCACAAAGAGCCACACGCTCGTCCTCAATCTGTGCGAGCCGGTTGACCTCAAACTGTGGAAGCCCCAAGCGTGGGAGACTTTGAATTCCTATCTTCAGACGTGGTGTCCCTCGCATTGGACTCTCGTTGTTTTCGTGCCGCGGCAGCACAACCTGTCATTTCTCGCCAGCGTGCACCATCTTTTTTTTGTCAAGTTGTTGGAAGGGAAGTGGGTGCGGAGAGTGCAGCAAAAAAAAAGCTTCCCCGTTGGGAACAATTTGTACACGGAGGAAGACCCCATGTACATCCTCTTCAAGGGTGACGATCTGCGTGTCAACACGTCCGTGGTCTACGAGGGAAACCTGCCCACGGGTGCCGCTGCTGCGGTGCGATTGCCTCAGAGGGTCTCCCAGACGGATGTGTCCGAGATTCCTTTCACGCCTTGCGACTGGTCGCTGGTGGCGCTTGAACGACAGGGCAGCGTCTACGGGGATATGGAACGCAATCCGACCCAATTCGTCGGTCTTCTTGATTTTCTTGGCAAGAAGGGAGAGGGTGTTGTGTTCCTTGGGAAACCGCACGCGCGAAGCATCTGGGAGCTTCTGAAGGCCGGCCGACACGTTGTCGCAATGGAAGGGAACTCCGACCTCTTGCAATTCACGATGCAGGTGGTGAAAAGCGAGGTCAATTCGAGTGGGCACAATTGTGAGTTCATGGTCGTGAGGCCAACACGAGATAAGGTGTGGAGCAAGAAGACAGATATGTGGTTCAAGTTGAGTGAGAGGAAGAGGAACAAGATATACGATTTTGTTGTGGTGGATGGAGTTCCGAGACAAGTGGATGGAGCAAGCTCTGGTGTGTTCATGTTGATGTACGCGATGTTGTTTCAACGTAGAGATCAACCGCCTTTCCAGTTCTCTTGTAAAGATATTCCGCTTCTTAGACGACAATTAGCATCATGTGTCTTAGAACATCGTTGTCTTTGATGGATTTGATTGACTTCGAAACTTTTTTTTAAGGTGTTTCATTCGTTGATCGTTAAATTTCGTAAATCGAGACATTATTCAACTGTCCTTCTGCCAGAGGCATTGCTTTCTTTTATCGTTCCGAGTTCGCGTTATCTATGGCAAGCTCAATGCATGTCCTGCGTCATGTATGGGCTTTGTAATCTATGTCACGTAATGTTCCATGTTCCGAATTCTGTTCAAGTTGAAGTATTGTGTTCCATGTTTCGAATTCTGTTCAACTGGAAGTGTAAACATGATTGTGAAACTGGTTGGTGGATGAATGAGAAATCTCATCTTATGTGAAATTGGTCAGTGGATGCCCAAACCTTTTTTGCATGACCATTTAAAATACTGATATTCATCGTGATGGAGCACAATTTAATCTAATTCAATCTAATTGCATTGCTAATTTTGTTTACAAAAGTTCAACAACTATGGATGTCAGCAAGCTTTCGCATTTGGGGCGACTGGGCGGGCATGCCGATGTACAAACACTGCAGTCAAAATTGAATTCGTAATAAAAGGACAGTGTCACAATATAGTTACTGTATCTTTCATCACATTTATGAAATTGAAGTTTGACAAGTTAGGATCACGGCACACTTCCACACAGGGTTCCCTTTGGCGTGCCAATCGTTGTTCGTTTACGAAGTTTGACTAGTATGGATCCCAACACACTTCCCCACAGGATCACCAACATGTTTTTGAAGTTCAACAAGTAAGGATCCCGACACACTTCCACATTTGGGATTTCATTTATGAAGTTTCACAAGTATGGATCTCAGCACACTTCTGCATGTGGTTAACCCCTGGATGGGCATGCCTACGTTGCTTAGGCTGCAGCCAAAAATGAGTTCGTTAGAAAGAGGACACAGTATAATGTTATATTTTAATGAATAACGTGTTGAGAGAGAGAGAGAGAGAGAGAGAGAGAGAGAGAGAGAGAGAGAGAGAGAGAGAGAGAGAGAGAGAGAGAGAAAAAAAAAAAAAAAAAA